GTTTGCCTTACCAAAAAAGAGATATGAAAATACAGGAAATTTTGTCTACTTTAATTTCGTATAGAATGGACTTGCCGAAAAAACGCTTCTGGAAATATCGGCCAAAAATTGAGAAAAGTTGGACAAAAAGTGAAAAAAAAACAAAGTTCCGGGCCAAACTTTTACCTGCTACCCAAAAAGCATAAAGAGTGAGAAAATAAAAACTACCTACAGCAAAACTTTACTCTAACAATCCTAATATGCCTATAACCTATAAATATTTTAACATACACATTAAGGAAATGAGTGTAGACCTATTAAAAAATTCTATTTACGTATACCTGTACGGGACACAAAAAGGCAAAGACTCATTTCTCCTACAGCAGTCCGACCAGTTCGAGTTTCCGTTTTGCTCAACAATAATACGATCATTCATCGACACAAAGCCAGCCAGCCAAAAGAATTGGCGACCGATTTCCTAAGTGTTTTTATCTTAAAACGCTTAGACTAATGCTTTTAGTCAAAACAAAATCTCTCCCGAAATGTAGGACGGGACGATTTACTGCTTATAGTACATCGTCTTAGGGCACCAATTTACTTCAATTTAGGCAGACTAATTTAAAGTGACATCTGCATTGTTGTTGTCGTCAGAAGTCGACCACCCACATTTTCCGTTGTAACGGCATTGAACAGCGACGTATACGCAATTATTTCAAAATTACGCATCCCATCGAAATGAATTTAAAATTGAGGGGGGTAAAAAATGGGAACGCGCGCACGCACTCGCGTTTTTGCCCGTGATGATTACGGATTGTAATTAGGGCTGGCGGTTTTTTTTTTGCGAAATCCCCCACAGGAAGGTCTCGTTTTGCGAAAATGGGATTTAAAAGTTGTGTATGTATATGGACTATAAATAAATGTAGATTTAAGAATAGGGGCTCGCTCAACAATTTCTATGGAGCGAAAAATATTTCGGTTGCCGTCTTTTGTTGGGGAACAGAGAAAATGTCGATATACTCAAATATATGAATGGGCGAGGAGGTTTTGTATGTTTTCACGATTAAATCCCCCTTTTATGTAAGGTTTCCGATTTACTAAGTCCATTTTTGATCTTCGCGTGTACGTTTCGAAGTAATTACGATTTTACCCAAAGACATTTTGTTATTAGATACTTTTTAGTTATGGCTCGTTGTCTTACATTTTAATGACGCCTTCCAGCACTTCTCAAAATTACTCGAAAATTTCTTGCCTGAAACATGACCTTCGTCGGATGACAACGGAGCCGGTAATGAAATTCATTAAGATCTGTCAGTCACTTTTCTGTACCAGTACAAGCAGGCGCGGTAATTAACGTAAATGGTACCCAGAAAGATCACATCGCACTTCTAAATGCATGCCATATGCCCCCACACAATCTCTCCACTTGTTTAATATCGATTTCGGGCTATTAATATCTTGTAATCTGGCGTACACAAAACAAGATTGTTTGGCGAGGACCAAATTTACTATACTTGTGTACACGAAGGGGGATTTAGCAGCATAAAATCCCTAAATAAAAACAACTTTTTCCAAATTAATTTACTCGTCCTATAAGACCGCATATTAGCAGATTGCATCCAGATGCGGGCTACTGAGTTGCCAGCGTGCAACATAATTTCCAATACTCCGCTCGAACACATGTTATATCAATACCCAGACGAAATTTACAAATTAAATACCTGAATGTGAAGAATTTCTTTAGCTTTCACCCAATTATCCAATGTCTCTTGAATTTGGAATTTCAGGCTCTCAATATTCTGATTTTTTGTTCTAGACTGAAGCAGATGTGAGAGACGCTACGGTTTTATTTGATAACTTCTTATAAACTTTTTTTAAAGGTAGGTATGCAAAATTTATTCGAAAAAATTGTTTTTAAATACGACGTGTATGCGGCAAATTTAGCGAAATTCTGGACATTTTTATTATATTATATTATTATATATTGTCCGGCTCGTTGTAAGAACCAAATTTTTCGAAATTTTCAAAAACTAATTTTAGATTCGTTATTCTCATGTGGCAAAACAGATCAGAATTTTACCGCGCTCCCGTTTTTGGAGTATCAATGTTGTAAAATCAATAAGAAAATACCCCAAAGCCCGGAGCCCAAAAATAGTTCCATCTTCTTTCCCTTACGTTTGCTAGGAAAAAAATTGAAGAAGAAACGAACATTTTTGAATTTTTGGTCCCCTCTGCCATCCAATTTTTCTTAAAATTCCTACAAATTTAGCATTCAAATATAATTTTTTTGTTTTAATCGAATTTGTTTGTTTACATGTTCTATAATTGAATTAATTTTGTCTTCTATACTTGACGACAATTCATAATGTACTGAAAAAATTATTGATACCCAATGTTTAAAATAAATTAAAAAATTTGCTGAGACTAGCATAGATACCGCCCGCACCCGCACACCTGCGCGATTCTGCCCTTTTATGCGTAAGAGTATCTGTGCCAAATTTAGTTCCAATCGGTTCAGCCGTTTAGCCGGAAATGAGAATACAGACGGACCGATAGACCGACACCATCGCGATTTTGTTTGATTCGGATTCCTGGTACTTCAAAACGTGTATTTCCGTCAAAAAAGTGGGGTTTTCACCCCAATGCAATACCTCCCTTACTAACGTACGGTAAAAAAAAACTGTTAATTAAATGCAAATTATTTTGATTCAGCAAAAACGTAAATGTGTATCGAACCGACTACAAACAATGCAACCCAAACAAAACATACAAATAGTCACGGAAAAAAATGGACCTAGGGGTCTGGAGTTCAATTTTTAAGAGAAAATCAATGGCGCAAGCAGAATTCAGCTATCACTAATCGTTTGGCCGCTAGGGGACGTTTCTCGAATTTACTCGATTTCTTTAATGTCGCATAACTTTCTTATTATTAAAGATAATTACTGAGTTTGGCAAAATCTTTCGTAGAGCACTTTTTTATATAGAATCCATCGCGATACACAGTTTTTATACAGGAGGTTTAGTTTTCTTATACGACCTTAAACTACATTTTTTTCATATGGACAATTCTATATATTTTGCTTTTGAAAAGAGTGTAAAATTATGTAGCACTTATTATATTTTTATTAAATATTATTTGCAATATTGCTTTTTATACATTAAACTATTTTTACTGCAGACATCTAGGCTTCCATGGCGAATGGCGATGGGAGAATTGTTTAAAACGACAATTTCTCGATTTTCTGCATTATTTATTTATATATTAAATTATTTATTTGTTTTATTCACACGAGTTTTCACTTCCTTTCTTTTATGTGTATTGGAATGAATCAAAATTTCCAAATAACCAAGAAATTGTTGTTTTAAACAATCCTACCATCTTTTGTTCGCCATGGAAGCCTCGATGTCTGCAGTAAAAATAGTTTAATGTATAAAAAAGCAATATTGCAAATCATATTTAATATAAATATAACAAGTGATACATCAAAATTTAGGAAATTTTACGATCTTTTCAAAAACTCCAAAATATATAGGGTGATCTATATGAAAAAAATGTAGTTTAGGGTCCTATTTGAAAAACACCCTGTATACAAACTGTTCCTCTCTTCATTATTTAAGGTAAGTGCCACGGCAAAAACATCGTCATCGTCACTTGAAGAACCCATCGAAATACCTTCTACGGACCGGCGGCGTGGAGTTGTAGAACAGTGACAGGTGCCGCCGTCAGCAAAGTTTCGTTGCCGCGTCGCGTCGCTACGCTAAGTGGAAATCGACAGGAAAATATCGCGTCGCCAAGTGAGAATCGGTCTTTAATCAATATTAGTGAATTCTGTAATTGGTGAATTGGTGAACGTATTTTCAATGGTTCCCATCTCCTAACAGAATTTGAAACATTTTGTTTCAATATACAGAATTTCGAATGCTCATTGGGAAGGAAAGGCAGATGTGCTTATAACAGAAAAAACCAGGTGTCAAATTCTTGACAGAATAGCTTCCTAGCTGAAACCAAAAATTGCATTTTTTACGCATGCATTTTGTTTGCTTTTATTAGAGGGACCTACCATCCAAATTTCGT